AAATTGCGAATTTGAATGCTGACATCAAGTATCAGTACTCCTAATAAGATTTTTCTCTGTAAGCAATATTAAACACTAAGTAAACACTGCATCAAACTATTTCCATAAAAAATCTTCTTATTGAAGCTGTGGTTTATTGATCTAAGGGCCCAGCTTTCGACTTTGGATTAAGGATTTGAATTCTGCTCCGCTTACTGAAGTTTTGGCAGCCAAGTGGTATCATTAACCCACACTTACAATAGTTGTGGTTCATGGCCAACCACATTAAATTGCAAGCAGCTGTTGATTAACGTTTTAATTTTTCATTTCAGATAACTTCTTGGGTGGTGAAAAATCTTCAAGCAACCCTGTTAATCAGTATTTTAAGATAACCATGCAACAAACTTAGTGCAATTTTAGAATACATACTATAAATTGAAATTCTGCATAATTTTAGAGTGAGGATGGAATATTTTCAAGCGTTGGCTTTCAGGGATATGGTTGAACTCCAGTTAAATAACGATCGATGTCTCTGTAACAAGCGTGATTTTTCGCGATCTGACTGGAGAATAGGATAGTTTAATATAATAATAACGAAGCTTTACTTCGGACAATATGTTAACACAGGAACTTCAGATTATGAGGCAACCTCATTGACCATGCAGTCACTGGGACGGAATCAGTGATCTATGAAATCTAACATCTGTCTATTCGCGATATATTATGCTATCACTAGCTAGTGTCATCGGTGAGTATCTCTCCTCACATCCGACCTGGTGGACTTCACTGGCAATGGCTTCTCGTTAGCGCTCCTGGGAACTTCGTCATACAGGCAGTCACCATTGAGTATTACATTAATTTTCAAGTGACAGTTTGTAAGGATTTGCTGGATTTCAGTTTCGATCACGAATTGACTTCAGTTAGAGAACCACGGAGTACGGGGAAGACATTTGGTCCTATCTTGGAACTCTTCATCAGTGCGCACCCATGAACCTAGTCTTGTAATCTGAAGGTACTGGGCTTGGTCCCTGGCAGGGTCAAGAATGCACAGTGACGAAGAGTCCCAAACTAGGATGGAATAACCATCCAGCACATCCTAGTTTTCAGTCTGCTCTAACTAGTCTTAGTTCGCTATGAAATCCATGTTCGGGATAAACATTGAATGTAAAGTACTTAATGAGTACAATGCAGTGAAATAAGTAAAAGATCACAGGTTCATTTAGATTGACAGAATATTAGACTGTACCAGATGGATGGTAACTGATGCAGCCGAACTGATTATCATTCAAAGACCAGTTCGCACAGTCATTCTATGCTAAAAAGCATTCACTAATAATTGTTTCAAGATCATATTAAATAAGTAGGTCACATTAAATTTGACGAATTATTCATAAATCGTCGAAATATTGAAGTTGAATAAAGGAATACTGTGACAGAGTAGATATTCTACGCTTCTGAGTCAACTGGATAAAGTTCCTTTTTAAGAAAACGTAATTTCAGGGTTATTTTCGGAAATATAAAGAAAATTCCAGGGAAATTATCTCTTTTTTGTACAAACAGCAGCCTATGGGAAAGAAATAACTTTTCTTAGGCGGTTGGAGATAAACAGTTGGAAGCTCTGAGCCTAGGCATAGTGCTTGTTGGCACTAATTAGCAAAGTGTACCTGTATCTCTTTGATTTTGAACCCGCATCACAACATGCTGTAGTCTGAGACATTACCACTGAGCTATTCGGAGTGCCTATCGACCTCCTGTAGGACTTTAATATTTAAGTTTATTCGTCACTAGGATACAACCAGTGTCATTTATCTTGTCTTCTGTGTTAGTCCTGAATAAATTCTATCAGTTAGGTTTGTAATTTGGCTACCAGATCAAGTGGTCCAACATCACACTGCACTTTGATTTGATGTTAGACACTTAGAGAGGATAAAATGAAGACAAAAAAAGCAGAACACGAATACTTTGTGCGAATTGAGGTTACAAATAGAGGCTTTGTCTCATAAACAAATCCGCTACCAAATATCTTTGTATTCTCTGTTGCACTTCTGTGCTTTAACTATCAAATGTTACTATCAACTTTCCATACAATACTTCTCAATGGACAGTTACAAGTTAATATAAAAAATATAGAGGTGATGAAGATGCACATAGGTCAACAACGACAAGCACCCGTCAAAATCAACGAGAAAAATGTGAAGGAGGTTAACATTTTCACTTATCTAGGCAGCATCGTCTCAACTAAAGGTGGCGGCATGGATGAAGATGTTGAAGCCAGCGGTGACTGAAACGACAATACAGAATTTAATTAGCCTGAAATTAGTTGGAAAACCTACTTCACCCTGCATAAAGAACAACATTTGGATTTCAAACGCTGATATCGAATAAGTCAACGCCTCTGTATGGTTCACAGATTTGGTGCGCATGTCACCAGAGGCATTTCGAACAGACTTCAGAATTCTATCAATGCCTGACTTTGCTGGCTCCATACTGAAGGTTAGATGGCAGGCCAGAAAGGATTAGTGACAAGGAACTCTAGGGACGTACACACCAACGACCTGTTACCGAACAAATATTCCGAAGAAAATGAAAATGGATGGAAAATACACTGAAGAGACTTCTGAAAGACATTGCACCAGACAACGCTAGAGGGGAACCCGAATGCGAAACGAAGAGTTAGGTGCCAGTCCTTGGACGATATGAAGGAGATCATGTGAGAAGGAGATGCGAACCTACGAGCGATTATACAGCCAGCAAGAGAATAATTCAAAGAAGGTGATGAAATGGAGATGTGTTGATGAAGTCCTAAGCTTCACTTAGAACCTGAGGGAGTAATAACCTAACGATAATAAGTGAAGCACAACTCAAGAAAGAGCTATTCACATTAATAAGGAATTATTGTTGATAATATTTGAAAAACTTGTATTTCGTTTTCTTCTAATAATTAAGTCCTCCAAGGTAAAAAGCTAATTCAACAGTTACTGTGAAAAAAGGAAAAAGTGCGGTTATTTTCTATTTTTAGATAAGTTCAACACATATATGGGTGGAAAATCGATCTATTTCAATACAGTTATAATTAAATGTCCTAATCTGTTGAATGAAAGGCTTAACTGGTAAAAAGCACGTTAGTCAATATTCTCAATAGTACATTTTACTGATTTATTGAAATGGGCAAAAACTGAAGTGACTTTTCACACAGTACACTGATGTCATATATATAACAAGAAACGTTTTTTATAGGCTGATGAAATCAGACATCTTGCTAGACCAATTAAACACAAGATTGTGAATAAATTAGAACTATCTCACCTTGACATTTGGATAACCGAATGACGTGTTAAATGTCATTGGTTTTTCAATGTAGTCTAATATGTCGAATTCTTTTTTTTCTAAGAAGACCTAAACGGTGTTGATTTCTGCTCCATTATCAGTTTTCGTGCTGCACCAAGGTGTCTGTTTACTTTCAAAGTATGAAAAATTTACATGTCATGTAATTAAGATCGCATAAGTCAGAAACATTTTCTCCCAAGAAACTATTCAGTCACTTCATGAAAGACAAACTGTCGCACTGGGCCATATCAGCATGTATATAACAGTTCACTTGCTCTTGTGGAGCTGAGTAAATTGGCTGTACCACTTGTAAAGCACTCTCGAGGACGTTCCTCCATTCTGGATAGTAAAGGGAGGAGGTAGGTGCATTTATAACTCGATAGCAGATCATCTGGTGAAGTCATGATACTCCTCTCCGTTTGAAAAAGTCCCTCAAAGTCCTACACAAGACCTGATTAAACCCCTTGAAGAGAGTGAGATCAAGAAATCTGGACAAAGTGGAAGCACCAGCGATTCAAAACTTCAAGCCAACATTATGTATTTGAAAGATGTACGACCAACCTTTGTCTTTACCATGGCCATAGTAAACAGTCAATTTTCTCAACAGTTATTATCTGACTATGTATTTTACCCGAACTTCCTGGTTATTTTATTATTACTGAGTTCTTAATCCCTATTTGTAATCGTGTTGTTCGTTTAAATTTTACTCTCTACCAGAAATAGTTCTGGAACTTTCTCACCTATTTACTATGTATACACAGATGCACAGCCTGGTTGATGACTTCTTCGAATAAAAATTAATTTTATTGTCATCAATGATTGAAAGATTTCATGATATGAAAATGCAGTCTTAATTCACTGTACAGAAAACTAAGTACGTTATCTGATATTTTGTGGACAATTTAGGTTATTATATCAAAAGTTGGATCAGCAATAAGTGATGAAACGTCTAATCAGTGATATTTTAGGCGGAAATGTGGAAAACAAAGGCAATAATTTCAGAAGATTTGATTGTTATTGTTGGCTATTACAGTTTAGACATAAAAAACACAATGACAATAAATTTCTAGCAAAGAATGTCAAGCTAGTGATCTTCTCAACGTATCACCTTACTGAGAAATTTTACTGATGTCTATTTTTTAATGTGTTGTTATATTCTCTAAGCTCGAAGGTTTAATTATGAAGCCTTAATTGTTCGTCTAGATAACATCTCCAATGCTAACTTTATCTTTTACCGTTAAAGGTGTTGTCTAGAACTGAATCACTCAGCGCACACAGCACAACAACACTAATAACATTCATCTGATTGATTACAGGTCTGATCACGCGTTAACATCAGTTAAAGAACTATTAGACAACCAAGAAGTACAGGAAAGCTGTTTTGTCCTAGACTGGTACTCCTCAGGGCTAAGCCCTATTGACCCAGCAGGGGATCAAAACTAGGAGCTTCAGGTTACAAGATGAGCTAGCAGATCATTAAGCCACTGGGCCCCGATCAAATGGTCGATGTATTCCAACTTAGCCCATTCGCGTTATCTACCGTGCAACCGCCAGCCAATGTCATTGGCGGGCTACTGTATTCTTACATGGCTTGGTGGATCCCACTAGTCGTCTTACTTACAAAGTTTCTTTTTTGTGGTAAATTATATTGGGATATATTATATTATGTAAAATACAATTAGAAAATAACTTACGCTTGTATCATACGTTCCATATTTTCATATTCTACTTTAGCATGAGTAATCTCCTGCATAATTGCTCTCAGCATATCTTCAAATTCTGGTAACAAGTGCGAATTAGCTAATTTCATATATTTCCATATATGTTTTACTTGTTCATAACTGAAAAGATAAAAAAGAGAATAAAGTAACAAGTAGTTTGGTCGAAGGTGACTAGCAGTGGTATCCAAAATTCTCATTTTGTCCTATTTGGGAGTTTCCAACTGGATGTATCTGCATTCCCCAATGAGTGATGGTGTTTCCACTGAGTCTCAAACCCAGACCCTACAGTTTCAGAATCAATGTTAACAGAGGCCGAACATTTCTCTCCAATCAATGAAAGCGGAAATCAAAACTGACTTTATAGAAAGAAACAAGTGTTCGATCCTGAGACCGATACTTAAGACTGCTTTTATTATCATTTATTGGTGAAGGCATATTGTAGCTTGGCACTGTATTATAATACCTTTTCTGTATAAAATTATAACTGTTAAAATTGAAGAATTAAATACTCTCACACTGAGTAATAGGACTTCGTAGACAAAACGTGGAGAAATACTATTTTCGCAAGCCTTTCAATAGCACTCATAGTCAAACTGTTAGCTAGTTATACCATTAAGGCAATCAAAAAATTTTATTATTTAGACAGACTGTGGCTGAATAACTGTTCAGAAAATCCCTCCTGAACAATCTTTCTGCAATATTGGTACTTATTTGAATTTTTCACTCAACTGTGTAATTATTATCCTTTCTTGCTCGACCTACGTATTATCGTTCGAACGTGTACGTATCTTCTCTTAATTTAATCCTTATTATTGATTCATGTTTGTATTTGATTCCTATTTTTAGTGTTTTACTTGACTATTGGTTGATGGTGAACCGTTGGTAGTAACGTGTTGTTTTATGATTCCAACTTTATTTGTATGAATCCTAGGTAATGCTGTGGCGACTATTTGACCTTAGACTGTTAGCGGGTGTATTTGATTCCTACCGATGGAGTTTTGATTCTAATTTTCGAGAATATTCTCTTCGGTTCTCAGGTGTTTCCTAAGGTCGTATTTTGTTTAACTGATTTTGCTCCACAGTACATATTTTGTGTGTGACAAATCCTTGAGCTGTATGTCCGCCTATAGGTATCGCTGAGGAAATTTTGCGTTTTTCATATGTAATTACTGTTTAATAGTACTACAGAATTTGTCACATATAACTATCTTCTTGCTACGGTGGGACTGCAGGTCACTCGGAGAAGTTTGGTCAGCTATACAGAAGAACGCATCGATTGGCTTCCTGCGATTAGACTAAAATATTTGGGTTTTGGTTGTTACACAGACTAATGATATACTCTGTAAAGGAGGTCGAAAGTAAAACACAGTTGACGTAGTGATTCTTAGCTGTCATTTGGTCCATGTCCCCTTCTAAAAACTTCCATGACGAATCTAATGAACAAGTTCAAGTATATGAGTTGGGAAATATTTCGAGTAATAATATGCTAAGTCGATTTGGTTAGATTTTTTTTCCTTCACATTCCTAGTGGAACATAGGCGTCAAGCTTGTGGCTTGAAGTTTCTGTAGCAGTGTTTATTTTACAGGATGGGGTTGCTAGCCTCATGCCCAACCTTTCCCCTTCACCAGCATTATTTCTGGCTTAGCGAGGTAAAGGAGTGCGTCGGCCGGGGGAATGAACCTCGGACCACGCGCATGGTCGGCGAGCGTCCTAACCGCTATGCCACCGACGCATGATTTGGTTAGATTGCTAATTGTATATTTAATTTATGGAAATTACTGACGCAATAATGTGACATGAACGAATCAGAATATATCCAAAGTCAAAGTTTATATGTGTGTATAAATTTTAGCTGAAAGGGTAAATAATGAAAGTTTGAAGACAGACGATACACTACACTGATTAGCAATTGAGGAGCAACCAGTGTTAGATGTACAGTCCTTCGTGTTGACGCTGACTGATTTCTATCAGTCAAGTTTACAATGTAGTCGCCAAAACTAGAAGACAGACATCGTGGTGCACTTTGAACCTGTACCTCAGTTTTTTGCTCACTGACACTTGTCAGCGAGGTATTTCTGCAAACTTGAAATAACTAGTGTCTTCTCTGTCGTTTAAACTAACGTAAACCAATGTTGTAGTTAGAGACGTTGCCACTTGACTTCCTGTAGAACTACTAATTGCTGGACAAATGAGAATGATCAATCAATGTATTCATCACAGTTTTCCATAGGAGGTCAATCAATAACACCAAAGGCTCAGTAGTAATGCCTCTTACTTCACCGCTGGGTGAGGCGGGTTTGAATCACAGATAATGTATCAATGGTTTCAAGTTTACAGATTAAGTTTGCAGATGATTGCAAAAAACCACGAAATCTAGTTCCAGGGATTACCCTCTGTTACTCTCAAGCTTCTAGCAGATGTTGCTTTAGAAAATGACAGTCATTCACAATGAAAGTGTAGCACCGATGTCTCACCTTTTCAATACATCCTCAGGATCCAAAGATGATATAATCTGATTGTACTGTTCATCGATTTCTTCATCTAACAAGAAGTTATTTGCCGCCTTGTCAACCAGAAAATGACCTTTTCGAAAAAAAGACGGAAAAACAAATGAAGAAGATGGATGAACTGAGAAGTATGAAAAACATGAAATATTTGCAAAACAGTTTCTGTTTCATTTATATTTCCACTGATCATTCTAAGTGACTGGTGAGTATCATTTTCAGTTGAGTATCCACTTGCCGTGAAAAAAATATTTCTAATATAAGGGTAGAATTCAGTCAGTATGCTGGAATATGATTCCTTAATAACTAAGTTTAATTAAAGGAACATAAGAAACTTTACTTAAGATCCTTTATAAGGTTTGAATTAGAGTGGAATTTAAACCCACGAACTCATTCAGAGACCAATAGACCTAACTGAGAAAAATGTTTTAATTTACCAAACATTGTGTAATGAATGTAAGGTAATATAATACATAGGTCGGACAAGTAGATCGAGATTGTTTAGGCTATGTGAACCTAGAAATTTAACTACATCCAGAATGACTCCACATCGCAGTAAGCTAAACAGTCCAGCAAAAAATCCAGCCATTGAGATGAATATACCTGCATTAAAACACACAATAGGGTGGGCCAGGATTAAAATGAGTAAAAAGTTACATATTCTAAACAAAAATAATTAGATGAAAGAATTGTTTCCACTAACATCTTCTTTAGGATCTGCAGTTATAAATCTGCTGATGTTGGTGTACAATACGAAGGGTAAATAAAAATAATATCGGGGATTATATTAGAGTACAAGTACAAGATGAAAATCCAAATCTTGGTTTTTGTGCCAAGTGCAGCAGATTTCAAAAATGATTTCAGAGTAATAAAGGTCTGTCTCGTCTTTCCGATTATAGCTGACTTTGACACCTTCATCTACGCCGACTGCCTACAGTTAAAACACTGCTGCTCAAATAAGTGAGAGTGGTGTTACTAGCTAGTTATTTTCATTACCTCTATCTTCTCTGTGTCCACTCGAAGTCCTGTCTAAGCTGCTAGCCTCTTCTGCCAACCTGCTGTTTTCGCCTGTGGGTTTTCAAGTTTAGTAAATTACCTGTGAAGTTCACATCTTCTAAAGTCTTCTTGTTGGCCCAACGTATTCCTTTAATCTCACTCCCTACAGACCGTTGGATGATGCAGTCCACCACAATAAGAAATATCAGGATCCCCAATAGTAGGCAGCCTAATATACAAGTGAAAACACACCGTGAGTTAAGCTCCTTTTGTTAGGTGTGTGACATTTCAGGTATACCATCGAAAACTTCAAAGTGAATTAAAAATCTGTGTTTATTCACCCAAAATCTACAAGTGATTATACTGCAGAAATAACCAACAGACGACTTAAGGACCAACTGTCAAATATAAGCAGTTTTTAAATAGTCCGCTAATAAAATTAACACAAAACGGGTTTTCACATATCATAGAAGTGTCAAAACACATGACCTAGTTAGTTAATACAGGGAGAAAAAGTACATATGAGCTTCAAGATGATAAATCATACTGTAAATTCGAAAAGAAAAACAAAACAAAATAATAATCCAGCATAATAATGATAATAAGGAAGTATTTAAGCTTCTAGAGAATTTGACGTAGGAGAGGGCAGTAAATATATGTCAGAGATAGTACGCCAGGAAGGTGAAATATTGGCAGGACATTAAAATATGCTTGTATCGCCTCTGCTTCTGAATAACACTTTTTTTCTTCGTTTTGCTTCCCGAATGTGACATGGGGCTTCAAGTTTGAGTCTTGAAGTTTTAGTAGTGGTGTTGTTTTAAGAGGAGTGCATTAGCAAATCTCACACAAAACCTTACCTCTTATCCGAGCTTACTACCCGTTCAGGAGTTCGTCGGAGAGAATCAAAACCCAGACCACGTGAAGCGTGGCCGGTGAGCATTTTACAACCAATGCATAACACTATGAGCTACTCTTACTCTTTCTATTTACTACATCAAAAATTGTGTCAGAATCTACGGAAGCCTATTTCAAGTATATGTTTACCAATAGCACTACTAGTTCGTTTTGTACATCATAGTGACAATATTTTTTGCACAGATTCAGAGATATTTTCGTCATATCTCGTCTCTGTTCTCCTGAAGTACATGCAATTGAAAGTACAAGTATAAATGAATAAGTATAACTGGTCCCACATACAGATTTATCTCCCTAAGCATCTTCTCTATGTTTTAAAGATCATTGTTAATTTGACAGTACAACAGGTTAACAAATCAGCGTTTATTTTGAGAACTAATTTTACTGCTTTTTAAATGATTGTCTAATGAACATTTTCTATAAAAGACAGCCAAGGGAACCCAATTACCAAAGAAGAAAGACAGATTAAACAATGGGCGGACCACTTCAAAGGACTCTTGAATCGACCACCACCTACAACCCGTCCAGTAATACCAACAACAGCACGTACACAACTGCAAGTTGACACCAATCCTCCAACGAAAACTGAAGTCATGAATGCAATCAAGCTTCTGAAAGCTGGGGAAGCACCTGGACCAGATGGAATACCCCCGGAAGCACTGAAAGCGGACCCAGAAACGACAGCAGATATGCTGACTCCATTATTGCAAAAGATCTGGAAAGAGGGAAAGGTGCCTACTGACTGGAGGAAAGGTTACCTGGTGAAACTACCAAAGAAGGGCGACCTGGGACTCTGCAACAACTGGCGAGGAATCATGCTCCTGTCGACGCCAAGTAAAATCCTGAGTCGCATCATCCTGGGGAGAATCAAGGAGGCACTGGATACAGAACTCCGACCAGAACAAGCTGGATTCAGGAAAGGCAAATCATGTTCTGACCAAATTGCAACTCTACGCATCATCATCACAGAACAAAGCATGGAATGGCAATCAAATCTCTACCTCAACTTCATAGACTTTGAGAAGGCCTTCGACAGCGTTGACCGCCAAGTAATTTGGAAACTACTCGAGTACTACGGCGTACCCCAAATATTCATCAACCTTATTCAACAACTGTACGACAACGGCACATGTCAAGTGATCTACAACGGAAAACTCAGCGAGGCGTTCGGAGTAAACACAGGAGTCAGACAAGGGTGCTTATCATCACCAATGATATTCCTAATTGTGGTGGACTGGATTATGCGTCAGACAGTAGGAAACGAGGAGACAGGGATATCCTGGACCGACGTGAAGAACCTAGAAGACCTGGATTTCGCGCGTGAATGATTTATGTTTGATGTCACACAAAATCGAAGACTTACAAGCAAAAACCGACAAACTGGTCGAAGAAGCAGCCGGAGAAGACAGGACTCCAGGTGAACATAGACAAGACGGAGGTCATGAAAATAAACAACCAACAACAACAACAACAGCAACATCCAGTGCCAATCACCATCAACGAGAAGGATTTGAAGGAGGTTACTTCTTTCACTTATCTAGGGAGCATTGTCTCAACTAGACGAGGAACGGACGAAGATGTCAAATCGAGAATCGGGAAGGCGAGAAACACATTCATCAACCTGAAACCAATCTGGAAATCTTCGTCACTCAACTCAGCATCAACAACAAAATTCGGATTTTCAATACAAACGTCAAGTCAGTTCTTCTACACGGATCAGAAAGTTGGCGGGTCACAAAGAATATTTCGAACAGCCTGTTGCAGACCTTTATCAACAACTGTCTTCGTTTTATACTGAAGATCAGATGGCCGGCCGGAAAGAATCACCAACAAGAAGCTATGGGAACAAAAAGAACAGGTACCAATCGCCCTACAAATATGCAGGATAAAGTGAAGATGGATTGGACACTCGCTGAGGAGGCCACTGAGTGACATCGCGCGTCAGGCTCTCGAGTGGAACCCGAAAGGGAAGCGGCGAGTCGGCCGTCCAAGGGTGACATGGAGGAGATCGTGTGAGGAGGAGATGAAACAGTATGGAATAACATGGACGCAAGTGAAAAGTACAGCACAAGACAGAAGCAAGTGGAGACGTGCAGTTGAAGTCCTATGTTCCACTAGGAACCCAAGGGAACAATAATAATAATGAACATTTTCTTCTTTGACACTTCCCCTTACAGGTCTTTCGCTTTTTGTTCTCAAATATGCATAGTTAAACTTTATCAGTTTATTTATCATTGACTATTGTTCTCCAAGTTTTCCCAACTGATTTTTAATTTGCTCTTTAGTACACAATCCAGTTTTCTATGAAAACAATTCTTCACTAGACTTGTTCGCATGAAACGGAACAAAAACCTGTTGAATGGTATATATTAAGTGGGATTATGATAAGTCTCACATGAATAATGTAGTTGGATGAAGGGAGAAATTAATCATTGAATCTTTGTTCATCGAAGCAACACTGAAGACATACAGCAAAAAAGATGCAATACCAGTAACGAATGAATAGGGAAGGGAGTAAAGCTATGTAACAAATAAGTTAGAAGGTCGTGTGAATATGTCGATATGATTTTTTAAATATTCCTTTGATTTCCGAATGGAACACAGGGATTCAAGCCTGAACTTTGAAGTTTCAGTAGCAGTGGTGTGGGGTTTCTAGCCATACTCCGAACATTTCCTATTTATCAGGATTACTACAGGCTAAACGAGGTTTAGGAGTCTGTCAGCCGGGAATCGAACTCTGAATCACGTAAGGCGTGGCTGGATAGTATTCTACCGGTGAACAACCAATGCACATCGATATGATCACAAGCAATACATTGTTCTAAAAGCTTCATTCAGTTATTACAACTGAATTACTGTGTGTATTATATCATATAAAATTATCCAGTATGAAGAATTATTTTGTCCACTGAACAGTTAAGACTTCATAATTTATGATTGTGTGGTTACAACCCATCAAAAAACGTACATTTAAACGCTACACTGTTCTGAATTTATACGCAGTAAAATTTGTAATATGTCCCTTATAAAATAACTTCTGTTGCTTAGTAACACTTTGATCATCATTTCAACTATAAATCTGGTTTTTCATTTCTATACTTTTTTCATTTAGAGGTTGTAATTTGATAAGCACAATGTATTTTTTTTTATAATTAAGTGTGTGTCAAA